GAGCTCTGTAAAACGATCGAGGCCAGGGCGAATATAAGTATCACGGCGATAATACACAAGTAAAACCACGATTTCCCTCTGAAAGGAGACCAGGAGAGCTTCCTCTTGTGGTGGTGGTGGTGGTGGTGGTGAGATCGAGATGCCTTGTGCGACGACTGGGCCGCCTTGGACGAGCGCGAGAATGCGGCGTTGGAGCTGTTGCGCTTGAAGGCGAAACGGTCGCGGATCGAGTGGAAAGCCGGCGCCGTGGCATCGTCGGCTGCGGACTCGGCCGCCGATATAGAGTTGCGACCCATTGATCCGAGTCTCGTGAACGAGAGAGAAGTTCGTTATCAGTGTTCGGAATTATGACAGTAAGTGGGAAGCGGTAATTGGGATTTGGTTATATCAAGCGAGGTAGGGTTGCTCTGAGTGTGATTAGATGATTGGATCATCACAAAAAATATTCATTTACACCTAAAATTAAAATTTAATTCAAGTATCATTATGCTTAACTACTGCAGATATTTATTAATATTTATTAACTAGTACAACTCCCGTGTATTACACGGGTGCTTGTTAATAGATTTTCTTAAAATCTAAAACTAATGAGAAAAAATATTTAAAAATTTAATTACCTTTTATAAGAATATATATTATTATATATTTAATATGACACTTTTTATTTGTGAGACTTACATGTGTTATATTATAATAATCTTTTTAACTTACAACATATAACTACATTAAACATAAATATATTAATTGAGAAATAATTTAATTTTCTAATGAATTTCAATAGATATAATTATTTATTATTATTATAAATATAAATATAATTTATTTATTTCAGTATATACAATATGGATGTCAAATCGAAGATCATCAAAAGATGATTAATTTGATATATTATATATGTAAAACCGATAAAAAATACAAAAGTTATCAACTTTTAAAATAAATTTACAATTCAATAGCTAATTGAAGGAAACAAATGAAAAGTTAGGGATATATTAGTCACTTAGTGTCTCACAATGTAAAATTACAAGGAATTAAAGGGTTATATTAGTACAAGTGATATTAAAATACCTAAGTTAGCTAAATAATATTTATAGAATGTCTAAACTTAGATTATTAATTATTAATATATCAATAATTCAATATTATTTGTCCAAACCTAATTACGAAGCATGATTCTTCGCCAAGTAGGATTCCGAAGCACCAGAAGCAGCCACGTAGGCTCAGCGCATTCGGGAATTATATATAGGGAGGATTTAAAATATTTAATAATTAATATTTATCAATTAAAATATATTGGATCAATATGTAATACAATTTATTTATATTAATTTATTAAAAATATTATATGAAATTTAAATTGTACAAAATTACATAAAATATATCTATCTCAAAGTAGTACACAACTCTTATGATACACGTAACTAATAATAATTTACAGTATACTCATTTTAAGATAATGTCATTTTAAAATTTTTAATTAGAAATTTGATTTGACGAGAAAGTGATTTCATAAAATAATTATTTTTGTAAAATTGATGTGACGTGTAAGTGGAAGGCGATTGATTAATATTATTTTATTCAATTATATTAATAATATTAATGATCGTAAAATTAAGTTAAAACTAATTAGATTTTGAGTGTAGATTGTGTTATTTTATAAGCAAAACACTCTTGCTTCCTGCACAAGACAAAACTCTTACATATATTTAATGGCAATATAAAAGAACATTTTGGCCATTAATCATTATACACTCACTCGCTAAAACCACAGCCACAGGATCTTCCTAATCTGGTAATGCTTGGAGTATTCTGCGCACGTCCCCGGCCGCTTCCCTTTTTCTTCTTATCCGCCCTTTCTTCCTGTGCCGTCGCTCCTTTCCACCGCCTGCTCAGGCCGTCACCAGATGTTGGAGATCTTGCCATCCCTCTTTCCATTCCCGGGCGCTGCGGTCCAGCCGCCTCCGTCTGGCACACGATCCTCCCTTCCTACTGGCGTCCATGTCAGTCAGCGGTGCTGAGCCGCCACGATCACTGCGCGGTGGGCGAGGGCTCGTGGAATGTGACGTGGGACGCGCGGCCGGCGCGGTGGCTCCACCACCCAGACTCCGCCTGGCTTCTATTTGGCGTCTGTTCTACCCTAGCTGCCGCCACCGTGCCGCCGTTGGCTGCTAATTCTGATCCGGAATCGATTTCGGAACCTGCGGATCTATCTACGAGGGATGCATCTTGTAATTATAGGGTCGTAGGTAAAATATGATTTTATCTTTTTTATTTTGGGCCTTGTTGATTAGAGTCTTCGAATTTCACTATATAGGTTAATTACTTAATTGATAGGATTAATGTGTGTATATATATATATGAATATAGGTGTTGAAGCGGATGGGAGGTGTTTGTTCAGAGCAATTGCACATATGGCATGTTTGCGAAATGGGGAAAAAGCCCCCGATGAGAATACTCAGAAAGAGCTTGCTGATGAATTGAGAGCTCAAGTATGAGTTTTAAATCCTCTATTCAATAAATAAATTATTATGGAAATGCTACCCATTTTGTCGGGATTTGTAACCATTAGATCATCATGTAACTATCGTGGATAGTTGATCTAACGGTTACAAACCCCGACGGAATGGTTCCGTAATAGGACCATAGAATCTCCTTATTATAATTCCCATTACTTTCACACTTTTCACCTTTTGCCTTTTATATATTTTATTACCTGCATTTTTTTTTTCATTTGCAACGATCGTATAAGTTAGAATATTACTAGCATATTCCACAATGTGATATGGGGATAATCGTGTAATATTAGTTGGCAAAACATTGAGAAGTCAAGGTTGGTAGTTTTCTTATTCATGAATATTTAAGAATAGTTAAGGTTGACACTGTTGAAAATATCACAATTTATGCTGCAAATATATATATTTTTTGTTTTTGTTGCAATTAATATTAACTTCGTATCTTACAGTTTTGCTATGAAGCCAACATTTGGGTCCATAGTAATGAAGCCAACATTTGGCTCCATAGTAGAGCAACCTTCTATATACAACAAAGAAATCATATCATATTCTCGGGTTATTTAAATAATACTAATAATATTATTAATATGATATGGTTTACTTATTGTATATAGAAGGTAGACTCCACTATGGAACCAACTGTTGGTTTCATAGTAAAACTATTTCATCTTATTTGTCGGCTTGGCTTTATTTATACATTTTTCTTCTGGTGAACTGATAAATGTACAGGTTTACTTATACCTTTCTCTTCTGGTGAAACGATAAATGTACAGGTGGTAGATGAGCTGTTAATGAGGAGGAAAGATGTAGAATGGTGGTTCTCTTCATTTTTTGGTTTTCATTTTGGTTTTGAGCAAACAGATATGGTTTATTTTGGTGTTACTAATTAGCATTTAATCACATGTTTTTGTGTAGTTTTATTGAGGAAGAGTTTGATTTATATGTGAAAAGGATTCAAGAGCCTTGTACTTGGGGTGGAGAACCTGAGTTGCTTATGTGTTCACATGTTCTCAAGTAAGTTTTTGAGTTTCTCCTACTTCACTTATCTCATCATAGGTTGATGTTATTAAAAAAATTTGTTCTAAGGTGTGTTTTTGAGTTTTTCCTACTTCTCATCTCGTCTTAGATTTATATGGTATGTATTGTACCTATGTGTATGCATTGTGCGTTCGTATTCAATTAAGAAAGTATTTTGAATATGCATAAAATAGTGTCCTTCCTATAAAACTAAGGACGAAGTTACGGACGGCATGAATAATTAGGTTGCAAGTGTGGTAAACTTCACAACTTCAGCTGCAAATATTCATTATTTCTTTTTAATTTTTATACTAGTAATAATTGCCTTTTTGCTCCGGTCAGAATTTCTGTTGTAGTTTTGTATGTTAATTTTGATGTGAAACTTAGTAAATGCTTAACATATACAAGCTGTTCCTTCCATAGAGACTGACTAAGCTATTTGCATGAATAGATGACCCTTTTATCTTTTTCGACCAGAAAATGTTTCCCTTCATTGGCAAGTGGTGGTTGCTTTTAGTGGACTGATAATGTATGAAAAAGTTTGTTTCTTTTGAATGTAATCAGCCAACTTATGTTGATGCAGGACGCCTATTTGTGTCTTTATGAAAGGGAGAAGCTCATCAAGCTTAACAAAGATAGCAAATTATGGCGAAGAGTATAGAAGAGATGGGGAGAAGTCCATCGATGTTCTGTTTCATGGTTATGGTCATTATGACATCCTAGAAGATGTATCAGACTTTAGACTTGAAGGAGGCAATAATCTCTTGCAATAAGATATTATTATTTAGTTCTTTTGAAATATGAATGAAGTTAATTTTGTAAATCTCATTAAACTTCAACATGTGTAATCTTTTTACTTTTTTAGTTGACTGCGTAATAACGAAGGAAATTTTTGTCTATGCAGGAATCTAATTATTCTTTCGGTTATTTAGTTAGGATTTACTAGCTTGAACTTTATATCGAGACCGCAAATGTCATACATATCGTGAATTGATTCGAAGTTTGGTTGTCTCACTTTCTGTGTGACTTTTTTTTCTTTCCAGTTGCAAGATGAATTTTGAAATTCATAGTCAGCAAAAACTTGTTAGTCTAAGATCTACGCTACACCTCGTCTCGCAGGGTAAGGGGCAGTGCTACTTGTATTGGGTAAGGAGTGCTCTTGTTAGTCACTTAGAACAACCTCTGCTATTTAGTTTTTTTGTTTTTGTTTTTGTCTTTGAACTGAAATTAAACTAACGATGGAGAACCTTACAAGTTCTGATATTATTACTGTAAGACTAAACTACAATTCAACTTTTAATTATATAAGTAAAAAAAATTGAGGAACCGTTGTAGATTTCACTCTTTTATTTTTTCCCGAACGATAACACCAAATTTATGGCCTCTAGAACAATGTACGCAGGAGCAATCAAGTGATGGGTGGACAAAAAAACCGAATTTCCCATACCGAACCGGACCGAAATAGTCCTATTCCGAAAAATAAGGTTCCAAAAAGTTCTCTTTATTTTTGTCCCGTTCTTCAACCCCTTACAAAGGCCTAACAGACCAAATAACGCAAGCATTAATACTAGGTTTAACAACAAAAAATACAGGAACCTAACATATTTACCAAATGCCAAACATCCTCAACCAAAACAATCAAAACCTAACTCTATTTTGAGTCCTGTTATTAAGAATAGAGGCTATCTCTCCTTTTGCCACACTGCAAGCCACTTCCTTCCAACCCAAGTAACCATCTGACTCTTCTCAGTTCATCTAACCACCAGTCTTGAAAAGAGAAGGATATTGTCTCAATCTTGTACCAACTCATACCCACCAACTTCCAACAGATTTCAACTCTATTTGTATCACCTTTTTATCGCAAATTCGGATTTGTGCTTAGAAAACCATTCCAACTTCTCTCGACAAGAAATTTTTGATTTTGCTTTTAATTAGAAGCTTCCAAGTCCTGTGCCATATTCTTCATTCATCACATGCTTTGATGTTTGATTCACCTTCCTGTTGAACTGAAGATTTTGAGCGAGCATCTCATAAGTTGATTTGACTGTGAACAATATGTCCTTTTGCCCCCGGTGACTAAAAGAGATAATAAGATTCTTTTTTTCTGCAATGACAGGGTTAAAGGTTTGTCTGATCAGCTATTCATCCCACTCCCTAGCTACCCCCTTAATCTAACAACTCCCACACCCTAGACACACTACCCATGTCACTCTGAAAATGTCATTCAGGTTTAAAAAGAAGAAACTTCACTTATTGAGGATGATTTCGAGATACTAATTGATTTGCCATCACCCACCTGGTATCTTCATTTTTTACTTAATGCCTCTCTAACCCCAAGCTATGTTACCCGGACTCTTCTGTTTAGAAGAATACCCGTGTCATGTCGTGTCATCACTGGTGTGGGTACGAGTGTCGGGTGTGGCATTTTAGCCTACAATGTTCAATATTTTTAAACAATTAACGAGTCGGACGCTCATATCTCTACACCCAATACGCCACCCATATCCGAGTCCAGGTAGCATAGACCCCAAGCCAATTTTTTCTACATCGAAGATTCCCCACTCTTTTTTTCCACATTCATTAACTTTTCCCTAAAGAAATATCTACCCTCAACACTTTACTCATTAAAAGATTTGGTTGATCGTTGAGACCTTCCAAAGTTGTTTTACAATTACGTCTTGGTAAACTTTCAAGTTCTTAAATCTTAATCCTCCTAAGTGCCTCGTGAAATTTGTTCACCCAAGACTCATTCTTTCCAACCAGAAATTGGCTATTTACATATCATTGCAAACCCCCAAAGGTAACTTAAAAACAGGACATGGCATAAGCGGGTGTGCTCCCAAAAAAGTCTTAATCAAGACATCATTGCCAACCTCACTCAATAAGTTGATATTCCAAAAAGCCACTCTGATTTTAACACTTTCGAGCACAAAATTGAAGGTTTCTTTCTTTGATCTGCATATACTTAAAGGGAGTCCCAAATACCTGGAAGACCTCAGACTAGAAATTCCGTTCAAGACTCTACAAATATCCAGTTTGGTACTAAGTTGAGTTTTTTTATTTTTTCTTTCAGAAAATATAGAGGATTTACCTAAATTAACTAACTGACTAGATGAGGCACCATAATCAGCATATTAAGAATTTTAAGGGCATACTGAGAAATCTGCTTTACAAAAAAGGATAGAATCATCTGCAAAAAAAATATATGAGAGGTAGAATGAGAATTTCTACTAATCTTAGGACCTCTAAGAGAAAAAATGTTTAGTTGAGTCATTTTGATCTAGTCCATTATTAGCACTATGCTAGGAGAATTGTCAACAATGACTCTTCTAGCTCCATTTGTATGTATTCCAACTTTTTTATTGGAAAGTTGGAATACATACATTCAAAAATGATTTCAACCTTTTGGATATAATCTTAGCTGAAAGAATCGGGTGGTGACCAGTGCGGTGCCATACACGTGAACCGCACCATAACATGGTGAACCTAGATGCCCCAAAACCAATTGGTGGAAGGAGGAGTAGTCCACTAGGGATATAAGTTAGGTCTATTTTCCTTGTATAAACCATGCGAGCTAGACAACTCACAAGTGATATTATATTCTAATACGACCCCTCACTTGTGAGTCCTTCATACGAAACCCTAGCCCAAGTCTGTGTAACAGATACGTCATCGCGGGTCCCACATAGAACCGGCTCTGATACCATGCAAGTAACGGGGAAAGCGGGTGCAGTTCCACGCACGTGAAGCGCATCATAGTACGGTTAGCCTAGATGCACCATAGTGAGTTTCTATTCCAAAACCAATTGGTGGAAGGAGAAGTAGTTCACTAGGTTTATAAGTTAGGCCTATTTTCTCAATATAAACGATGGGAGACAACTCACAAGTGGGTATTATATTTTAATACGCCCTCTCACTTGTGAGTCCTTCATACGAATCTCAACTGGGTAACGAGTACGTCATCGTCAGGTCCCACGTGGGCCATCTCTCATACCATTAAAGAATCGGGGGGTGACGTGTACGGTTCCACGTACGTGAAGCGCACCATAACAGGATAAGCCTAGATGCATCATAATAGGGTTCCATTTGCAAGAACTCAACACCAGATTTCCGACGAAAAGCCTCCGATGCTTAAGTCGGTC